CCTCTGCCATTAACGCTGGCTGATTGGTGCGAAATGCATTCTGGGATACCTGGCTGCCTCAAGTTCGCACAAGTCACCTCTGCATGCATCCTTGATAAAAGGGGCGGAGCAAGAACACATCCGGGGATTTGAACTGTAGTTGGCTAGATGTGAACTTTGAATTGGAACAGTACTTGGGCGACGACTGATGACGTTTCACAAGTCCACAAGAACACAAGTACAGACATGAACGCATATTGAGAAACGGCCCATGTGTTTTTAATTAAGATGCAGAATAAGTTTTGATAAATATAAGGGATGGCCCACTTTAACAGACCAGCTGGCCCACTTTACCTGAAAATAAATTTGTCTGGAGTGCATGATCTCAAAATGTTTATGGGTATATACCTTGCAAATAACACCTTATATGAACTGTATTCAAATTGAAATATTATAGCTGGAACTTAAATTTAACAGTAAGTAAAGTAAAGGAAAGAAAAAAATGCATCTAAATATTTTAAATAAAAAGGAAAATATAAATAAAACAAGCCTACATCAGTTATACAGCGCTATTGTTGCTGATGTGTGTCACGACAAGCGTGACGAGACCCGTATCGTGGGTGGTGAATCGCATTTTTTCAGTTCGGTTTGAATATCGTCACACCTCTACTTATTACATTTTAAATAGGGTATAATTTATAATCTGTAGGCTAACCTATTACATTTCCAAAGTAACCTTCCCAACACTTTTTTACTAAACATTTATGAATGCCTTTATAAACATTTACATTTACATTGGGGAAAAATTTTACTTGCAAAACTAATCATTTGCATTCTTAATTCCCAAACGATTAAACATTAATTAAAAGGAAAGATGATATGACGATGGTAAACATGGCTCTGTCCCAACTTTTTTGGAGTGTGTTGCAGCTATCAAAATCCAAATTTGTTCATTTTTACAAAATACAATTAAGCTGGCCAGTGAAATCATTGGAAATATTTTCTATGTATTTTTGTCAATTACATAACGGTTAAAGAGACTGAACAAATCCCATATTCTTGATTTTATGGCATTTTGCAAAACGTCCCAACTTTTTGGAATTGGGGTCGTATGTTAAACAATCCCTGTCAATGTGAGAACATAAAATATTAGTGCCATTTTTATACATTACTAAGACAAATTCTTTTATGATAGCCTAAAAAAATGCTAACATTTGTAATCCAAAATCATGAAAGAAAAATGCTAGATTTGGTACATGTATTAATGTAAAAAAGTATGGACATCAGCATGGTTTTGGTTAGTATTTGAATTATCTGAATCATTGTTAGATATATACCTGCAACTTGCAGACAAACATAAAGATGGACAAAATGATGAAATTTTGCACCTCCAATTTTACACTAGTGTCCAGATTAGAGTTTGTCATGTTGAAAATAACATCTTAATTTCTCTCAGGTTTGTGGTCCAACCATACCTAAGAACTGTGACGTAACAACTTACAACGGCATGTGCTTTAAAATCAGTTCAGATAATGTTGCGAGCAGATCTGTGCCAAGGACTCTGAGAGGTATTTGAATGGAGTTGTAACAAATCTGTCTTCATACTTCATACTGTATCGCTGCTGAGCAGCTTCAGATTGATGAAAACATGATGCAATTCTTTGTTTCTCTAACCTCAGAATGCCCAAAATCACAAATTGACATTGCTTTTTTAATGGATGGATCTGGAAGTGTAAATTATGCAGATTTTAATAAGATGAAGGCTTTTGTTATAGAAATGATCAAAAGTTTTTTAGACCATGATACACAGGTAGGATAATCAATGCATTTATTATGTTCTAGATTATGTATGATTTTTTGCCCCCCAATTTTCATAGCATCAGTAACTAAATCTATCTGTCTTACAGTTTGCCATTGCACAGTTTTCTACAAATTGTTACATTCATTACAAGTTTAAACAAAGTTTCAAAAATGCCAAGTTGTGGGAAGATGCAGTGAATAAGATATCTCAAAATAAGGGATGGACTAACACCGCAAAAGCTATAGAACAACTTGTGTAAGACATGCTTGCTGATATTTCATTAAACTTCTATTTAACCATGAAATACTTCTGACAGAAAATCTGATGAGACTGAGCACAGAAAAAAACAATTACATCCTAATTTTAAAACACTTAAAAGAAAGAAAAAAGAAAAAGAGAAACTAAGACAACTGTGATATGTGAACTTAATAAGAAATGTATCTTATAGAGTTGCATCATTAAACTATTTATTGATTAAATATTCTGTACTATTTTCTATAAACAGGAGGGAGCTATTTGTAAGTGAAGCAGGTGCAAGACCATCAGCCAGTAAAATTCTGGTTGTTATAACAGATGGCGAATCAACTGATTCTTTCTTGGCTGAAGCTGTTCAACAAGCACAAGCAAAAAGTATAACACGATATGCTATTGGGGTAAGATCAATATGTAGCCCTTCCTAATGTGTTTGTCTTGCAAAAGATTTTAAGTTTTCAAAGTGATTTTGTTCACTGTGTAAATTAAATGCATGTAAAATGGAAATTCTGTCATCATTTGCTCACCTCCTATGTCATTCCAAACATGTACGACTCACTTTCTTCTGAAGAATTTTTATTTTTTGTCCATCAATAAAAGTCACTGGGGCCCAGTGTTGTTTTGGACCCAGCTGACTTTTTATTTTATGGACAAAAACAGTTGAAACATTCTTCAAAATATAAAATATCTTATTTTGTCTTAGAACAATAAAACATATATGTTTGGAATGACATGAGGTTGAATAAACTATGCCAGAAGTTATAAACATTATATTTGAGGTGCGTTATGCCTGCATTTTTCCTAGGTTGGCAATGCTTTTGATATTGACAAAGCCACAAGGGAGCTGGCAATTATTGCATCTTTACCCACCAATAAGCATGTGTTCAAAGTAACTGACTTTGACGCGCTGGAAAGTATCCGTGAACAACTCAAAGACAACATTATTGCCATTGAAGGTATGTTTGCAGAGGAAATCAAAGAATGAATGACTGGCAGAATGTTTACATTTTACAGTTATCAGCTGTTATGTGAGTACAGGTACCTTGTGCATTGGGTTGATTTATAAAAATAATAATAATAATAATAATAATAATAATAATCAATAACAAGTTAACTGTGATGTTGCTTCTTTTATTTGCTAGGAACCCAGACCTCTGGTGATTCATCTCGGATGGAGTTTTCACAGGATGGGTTTAGTGCAGCATTAACATCAAATGTAATTATATTAACTTATCTGACACCTACGGAGCCCCTAAAGGGACATGGCGGTGGGAAAAAAATTTGGGGTGGGAGGAAATTTTTTTTTGCGTTCTCTCGCAAAACTTTTGCGTTCCCTCGAGAAACTTTGCGTTCCCTCGCAAAACTTTTGCATTCTCTCGCAAAGATATTTGCGTTCCCTTTTGCGTTCTCTTGCAAATATATTTTGCGTTCCCTCGCAAAACGTTTGCGTTCTCTCGCAAAAGATATTTGCGTTTTGCGAGGGAACGCAAATATCTTTGCGAGAGAACGCAAAAGTTTTGCGAGGGAACGCAAAGTTTCTCGAGGGAACGCAAAAGTTTTGCGAGAGAACGCAAAAAATCTGACAAATATTCTTTCCTCCCACCCCAAATTTTTTCACTCAATCTGATTTTTTTCCACCACCATGTCCCTTTAGGGGCTCCGTAGACACCTGTTATGCGATGCTGGAGTAATATACAGTGCACAACGAAGGAATATAATCCAAAGAGTACTTTAATAAATCCAGGGAGAAAACACAGGGTAAAAATCAACATCAATACAAACATAATACCAGACAAAGAACTAGGGGGAAACTAAGGGCTTAAATACATGGAGTAATCAGTAAAAACAGAAACAGGTGAGGAGCTAATTCATCAAAACCAATGGAAACAAACGAGGAAACTCAGGCAAACAGGAACACAGAGAAACTAAACCAAAACAGAACAGAATATACATGTTACAGTACTCCCCACCCCGGAGCAGTCCAACTGTGGAGGGAAGGTGGGGGCTCTGGAGGTTGACAAGGTTTAGATGAAGGGTAGGCAAAAAGAAGGAGTGACAGTTCTAGGGGCCAGGGAGGAGAAGACGGTGGGAGGAGCCAGGGAGGAGCAAGGAGCAGGAGGATCCTGATGTTGGTCCAGAGACCAGTCAGGACGAGGGAGGTGTTGACTTGGCAGACGACACCCTGGGGATGAGCGATGGAGATGGAGCCGCTGAAGGTGGAGACCCAGGTGGAGCTGAGTAGACGGAGAGCCAGGGTGACACCAGAGGTCTGGAGGGCCAAGGTGGAGCTGATGGATCATGCAACTGAGGTGGAGGCGGGAACCCAGAAGACCACGGTGGAGCCAGAGTGACTGAGGACAAAGGTGGAGCCAGAGGGAAGTAGGAGCCAGACAGAGCCTGAGGGATGGAGAGACGAGGCGAAGCCGGAGGAATGGAATCCCGTGGCAAAGGAGGGTCGATTACTGACCAAGGCGGAGCCGGATGGATGAGGGAGCCCAGTGGAGCCAGTGGGATCATGGGCCACGGTGGAGACTAGGGAGCAAGGAGCCAAGGCAGAGCCAATGGGTTGGAGGGCCGAGGAGGAGTTTGGGACTAAAAGGCTGGACAGGGGATCCTCACGCCTAGGCAGAGCTGGAGACTGGAAGGCCTGAGGCGGATCCGGACGACAGGATGGAGCGGAATGAGGATGAGCTGAGGGACTGACAGGAACCAGTGAAGGCATGGCTGAGGAACTGGCTGGTTCTAGGAGAGGAGGCGGGAGAGGGAGGCTGGGAGGGAACACAGGAGAACATGAGCTGGGTGGAACCAGCAGAGACTCAGGAGACGTAGGAGATTCAGGAGAGCTGGACGGAACCAGCTGAGACGAAGGTGTTTCGGAGAACATTGGGTATTACCTTCCCAACCAGTCAATTAAATCCTCATCAAAATGTCCATAAGTTCCTTCAAATAGCTTCCAGAGGCCATATCCACTGCATTTACGGCAATGGGGTTGTGGGCGGGGCTTTCCTCTAAGCCTTCGATCTCCACTAATACTCCCTCAACAATCCATGATGTTGCCGGCTCGCACACCTGGTCAGACTCTTCGTAAGGCTCAGGCTCCGGGGCGATGGTCGGCTCAGTCTCTTCCTCTTGCACTGGCTCGTGCATTGCGGCAGGCTCGGGCTCTCTGTCTGTGGCGGGCTCAAGCAACATCTCTGTTGTGTCGCTCGTGGGTGGTGGCAGGCTGGTCTCTGGATTTGGAGAGGGGCTGGTGAAGTCCTCCTGCGCGAGGCCGATGGGGAAAGCCGATTTATTGTTCACCAGCACCGAAAAGCGACAAAAGCGTCGAAATTCTCCCAGGGACCGTTCCCTGGGAGGTGTGCCTTGGTCCAGATAATGAGTCAGGCACGCCAAATCCAAAAAGTCTCTGCTGTGATCCTCCAGGGAATGGTCTTCCTGCTCCAGGCATGTTTTCTTGTAAAACATACTCCAATAATATTTATTTTATTTACAAGTTTGAAAAAAAAAAATTTTTTTTTACAGTGTATTACATAAATTGGGAGCTGTTGAATTGCTGTCTTTACTGTTCTGTTTAATTCAAGCATTTGCGTGTTATTCATGTCTTTTCCCCACTATAACATAGTAATATTAGGTTACATTAATTTTAAATTTATTGTCAGTATTTTATTTAAACAACAATTTACGTTTACCTCTTAATGTGATATAATAATTTTGGGGCATTTGTTTGAAAGAGAGTAGGAGAAATAAAACGTGTTTTCCGTAGATAATAAAACGTATTTTCATGGGGGAAAACATGGAAATAGTTTCTCGTTTTTACCCTCTTGTGTATTACATTTATTTGCTTGGTCAGTATTTTGGGGTTTCATCAATGCGATGTTACGGCTAGACGCTTAGCAACAAACACCCACTCTTGTGCCTCATATTCACATGCATTTGACAGTAATGGAAAGACCATGCGGTGTATAATAAATAGTTGTTTCTGTGCTTGAATGGAAAAAATGTCAAATGGTACAGAAAAAGAATTTGAAATAAGAAGAGACCGTTTCATTCTTACCTTTATAATATGAAAAGTCCATTCTGGAAAACTTGATAGTATAGTCGGTAATGTGAGGATGTCCCAGTGCCGGTATGTAAACACATTCATCCAATCACTGATGCTGACACCGCAAATGAGCAAATAAGGACATTAACCCGGGGGTTAGGAATGTAGGCTACAGTGTGACATGTCAGTTTATGAATACACAGGATTAATTGTGAAACGTGTGAAGCAAGGTAACCAGGATTCTGTTTGAATGACCAAGGGTTAATATTTAATACAGGCAGCTTATCTAGAAATTCATTTTTAATATTCCTATAATATTATGCACTCAGACAGATATAATAATGACTGCAGTGGGAGCTTTCCAGTGGAAAGGTGGATATCAGCTTTACAAACAGAACGATCAGTTAAATGTCTTTCAAGCTGGAAGTGAGCATGACAGTTATTTAGGTAAGATCTCTTCTTTGTGTAAATCAAAATAAATCAGTCAAATACCTCAGAATATTTTAAAGTCTGTTTTATTTACAGGTTATTCCTTGGCAATAGCGACAATGTTCGGAGCAAAGTATGCAGTCATGGGAGCACCAAGATACAAGCATAAGGGACAAGTAACTGTTTCAAGAATTGATAATATTCGAAGCAATTTAAAGGAACTGGATCCCCCTAAGGTTATAAAGCTGATATTTCTGGAAAATATTAGCACATTGCACCAGCAGGTGAAAGTAAGTAAGCTCAAAATAGACTGTATGTTAAACTATATTGCTTCCCTTTTCTCAGCCTCAGATTGGCTCATATTTTGGAGCTGAGGTTTGTGTGGTGGATTTGAACAGTGACTCCAGAACAGACCTCCTGTTGGTATCGGCACCAACATACATGGAGCCTGACCGGGAGGGCAAAGTGTTTGTTTACACCATCAGTCGTCGGGTAAGTGATGGGGATGAAATGTTTTACAGAATTTTGAAAATCAGTTCTGATTTAAATTTAGATATTTGATTTGCTTGTTTGTTTACTTCTCTCTCTGGTCTGTCTTCATAGTCTTACTTCATTTTTTCGGGTATGGTGCTGGTGGGAATGGCAGGTCAGAGGGGTCGGTTTGGTTCTTCTTTGGCCAGTCCAGCAGATCTGAATAATGATGGTTACATGGATGTGCTGATTGGAGCTCCTTTAGAGGAGGATGGGCAGGGCAGCATCTACATCTTCAATGGAGGAGTAGATCAAATAAATTCTGCATATTCACAGGTACAATGGATGGGAAAAGAGTTAATAAAAAAAGAGACAAATTAACAGTTAAACCCGTTTTTTTGGAACTTTGCACAAATAGGATAAAAACATGTTCTGTTACTTACTTTTAAAGCATTAGAGACACAAATCTTGTTATTTTTTTTTGTGAGAACTACTAGATATTTTAACTTTTAATATTTTAAAAATGTAATTTAAAATTAACCGAGATGCTAATTTAAAATTAAGCATGTTCTTAATTTTTTTTACACTGATTATAGATTTGACTACATTCATCAAGAACAACCATTACTCAACCCTGTTACCCAAGTTGTTGTAAGACAAAAAAAAAAAAAAAAAAAAAAAAAAAAAAAAATCAAACAAATAATTTTCCTTAATGTATTGGAAATAGTTTTATTAATAACAGAGCAACATTCCAAGTGTTTATTGTCAAAATAAACCAACAAAAAATCCTGTTGAACCCTGTTTGTGGTCAGTGCCTATTTAAACTGTCTTAAAGGGATAGTTCACCCAAAAATGAAAATTTGATGTTTATCTGCTTACCCCCAGGGCATCCAAGATGTGGGTGACTTTGTTTCTTCAGTAGAACAAAAACGAAGATTTTGAACTCAAACCGTTGCAGACTATCAGTCTTATAATGTAAGTGGATGGAAATGACGGCTTTGAGAGTAAAACAAAAAAACGCACAAACAAAATCAAATTAAACCCTGCAGCTCGTGACGATACATTGATGTGTAAAGACACAAAACGATCGGTCTGTGCAAGAAACTGAACAGTATTTATATCGTTTTTTACCTCTGATTTTCACCGCAATGTCCGAACTGTCTGTCCTGAGCGCGTCCTCCTGAGCTCGTCCTTCTGAGCGCGTTCTCAACAGCCAGCGCCTGACGCGTCTTCTTCTTCTTCTTGCTTTATGGCGGATCGAAGACTTATAAGTGCATTACTGCCACCTATCGCTCAAATGGACCATTAACACTCTATCTACAATCTCAGTTAGGAGTGTCATTGGTCCATTTGAGAGATAGGTGGCGGTAATGCACTTATAAGTCTGCGATCCACCTTAAAGCAAGAAGAAGAAGAAGACGCGTCAGGCACCGGCTGTTGAGAATGTGCTCAGGAGGATGCGCTCAGGACAGACAGTTCGGACATTGCGGTGAATCAGAGGTAAAAAACGATATGCATACTGTTCAGTTTATTGCACAGACCGATCGTTTTGTGTCTTTACACATCAATGTATTGTCACAAGCTGCAGGGTTTCATTTGGTTTTGTTTGTGTATGTTTTTTTGACTCCCAAAACCCGTGATTCCCATCCACTTACATTATAAGACTGACAGACTGCAACGGTTTGAGTTCAAAATCTTCGTTTGTGTTCTACTGAAGAAACAAAGTCACCTACATCTTGGATGCCCTGGGGGTAAGCAGATAAACATAAAATTTGAACTATCCCTTTAACTGTTACTGTTTTTCTGTTTTACCTGAAGACCCTCCACCTTGAAATCCTCTGTCTCATTCTCCCTCTTTCCTTCACTGTATGTGATGACAGAGGATTGCTGGATCATCTGTGCGACCAGGTTTGCGGTTCTTTGGGATTTCGTTGAGTCAGTCCTCTCTAGACCAGACTCAAGACAGCCTTCCTGATATTGCTGTTGGGTCCATGGGAGCAGTTCTGCTTCTCAGGTGTGTTTTGTTTTATAAAGAATTCTAAATATACAAATATACAGATTCAGTCATGATCATTCATATGTGTTATATGTGTATCATTCAGGTCCAGACCCATCATGCATTTGGAAACTAGAGTAACTTACAACCCATCCAAAATACCAACCGGTGAAACAGGCCAGTCACTTAAAAACACCATGGAAGTCTGCTTCACCATGAGTCCACATAGACACAGCATAAGTGGTTTGTCCAAAATTAGAAATATTCTTTGATGTTGTAAAGTGTGTAAACTTTTTAATGTGCAGATAGTCTTCTCCTGTGCCAGGTTAAACTGCAGGGACAACTATAAGTTTACTGTCTCTGTGGTGTACCAAAATATTTACATGATAATCCCAAATCAGCAGCATTGGCTCAACCAGTGCTGGGAATTTGGGGGCGGGGCTATCGGTTGGACCAACCAATGGCAGTAAGGGGGCGTGCTCAGGAAACCTGTATGAAAACAGACTTATGTTGATGTAGCTAGTGGCACAGACTTAAGCTTTAAACACAAGTTTTATTCACTCTGAGAGAGAATTCATGTAAGTAGACACATAAAATTATCAGAGTCAGAGACAGCTGTGAAATTTTGGGGTCAGTATTTATTTATTTTGGGAAAGAAATGAATAAATTATAAATTAAATTGATTAATTAATTAATTTTAAATTGTATTACTGTTTTTATTGTATTTGTGATCAAATACAGTACCAATCGCAAACATGGTACTGTATTTTTATAATATATTTATGTTCAAAGTCTTATGTCTTTGACTTAAAGAGTACTACATTTTTAAAATTTAAAACTTTTAAAATGTAAATAAAATGTGTATGTGTCCTCTGTGTATTACTTTGGCTGATTTAAAAAAATAAAATATATATATAAGACTGTTTTATGTTTATTATCTAGGCTTAACAGCAAATATTAATTACACCATAATGCTGGATGCCAAGCGACAGAAATATCGAGCATATTTCTTACCCAAAAACCGCTTCCACAATAATGATATGAAGATAAGGTTTTACGAAGAAACTTGCAAAAGTCATCCTTTCCTTATAGACGTAAGTCTGAAACATTTTCTCATACTTTTAAATATCTAAGTCTGTTATTCTGGCTAAATGAAATAACAATTATAAATGGGAATAGTTAAGTGCTGTACCTTATAGTAAGATGCAACAATGTGCCAACACAAATCTGAAAATTATGATTTTATGGTACATGAATATCTTATATGTATCCCATCAGGCTTTCTCAGAAGATGCTCTGAACTCATTGTCCAATCAGTTAACATTCACATTTGAGGGTCTACCATCTGCCAAATTGCAAAACATAAGGCCAATACTGCTGCCGGGGATAAAGACCACCACAGACCACAATGTAAGAGAAGGCAAAACTATTTCAAAGCATCGTCAGATGTATAATTCAGATGTAATGTGAAAGGTATAGCTCACCAAAAAATGGAACTTCTGTCACTATTTACTGTCACCTGTATGACTTTTTTTTTTTTTGAACACAAGAGTAGATATTTTGAAAAATGTCTATGCTTGTATGCTTGTCCGTATAATGAAAGTCAATACAGAGTCATACAGAAAGGCAATTGGAATGAAACAATAGTAATGATGACAGAATTCTTGCATTGCACATGGTATTATTTTCATTTACTACACTCTTTTTGACAAATGTCTGAACATCTACTATCTAGTGTAATAGGAGATGTAGTTTTATATTATTTAAGAATGTTTTTATTTTCATCATGTATATCTAAATATCTTAAAATCTTTATTCCACAGCTGGATTTTGAGATAAATTGTGGACATGATGACATCTGTGTTGATGACCTCAGGATGGATTTCAGTTTCTCTGGGTGAGCAAATATTTACATTTAGTTATTCTGTATTCCATTAAAGAACAACACAAATAAATTTGCAAATAATAGCCTTAATTATGCGTTACTTGTACAAAACCAAATGCAATATTCCAGGGTAAGAAGCAACGTAACGCTATACACAAACAATACCAGACAATGAACTGAGGGAACTGAAGGTCTTAAATAAAGAGTGAAACAAACTCAATACAAAACAGGTGTGCTCTAATTAGTAACAATGAATAACCACGACAACTGATGATAAGAATGAACATTAGTGATCGTTTTACTGACTTTCTTATTCAGCCTCGTTCATCAAAAAGAACAAATCTTTATTCAAGTCATTTCGTTCATGTACGAGCCTTGTTATAAATGTTATACTTTTAACAGCCAAATTCCCCAAACACATCCACCTATGCAATCTTGATCATATTCCGAATGAAAAAATCATTATTATACAGCCAAATATAATTTACAGGGAACATATATAATTACTTTACCTTCCGAGTCTTTCGTTCATTTTTTCACATGACAGACGCAATGAACGGATCGTTCATGAATGAACCGTCACTACTGAACATAGGAACAAGGAAACAGAAAACAAGAAGAAACAAACGAAAAGTCAAACAACAGAACGTGACAGCGTTCTCTCACAAAACTTTTGTGTTCTCTTGCAAAAGTATTGCATTCCACCGAGAAATTTAGCATTTTCCTTCGAACCTCATATTATTTCCTTTACAAAGATTTTGCAAACAAGCGCAAACTTTCTCACAAAAGACGAGTTTTGCAAGAGAATGCAAATGAAATCTTCTTCTTATTATTATTTATTATTCTTATATATATATTTTTACAATCACCATGTCCCTTTAGGAGCTCCATACAACATCAAATTATGGAATCAACCTTGTTTCATTCCAATAAAAATGTTTTTTTTCTTTTGTTTCTGTGATCCAGTTCTACAAATATCGAGGTTGGGATCATGCAGGAAATCGATGTGGCAGTGTTTGTAGAGAACAGAGGAGAAAACTCATACAACACATTCTTCACCCTCAACTACCCCTTTGGACTTTCCTACAGGAGAATCACATCTAAACAGGTAAAGCCAGAATGATTTTGAAAAAAGACACCAAAAACGATATCTATAAAGATAACTTTAACGATAACTATATTAACGTCCACACCATTTCACAATGACGTTCTGTTTATTATGTTTTTGTTGTCTTCTGATCTTTAAAGCCGGGTGGATTCTGATTGGCTGTCAATGTTTCATCAGCTGGAAAAAATCATTCTGAAATTGATTCCAGCAATATTGTTCCTCTGTGTCGTTACCGTTATAGTTGTGGTGTGGACTTCCCTATTGTCATAGAGTTATAGTATATCATGATAGTTATCATCCTTGGTTTGAATAGCAATTGGAATGACAATTATTGTTATTGAATGAATGTTTATGGATCATTTTCTGTTTGAGCAGGGCAGAGTGGAGTGTGTATCTCTTGACAGTGAGCAAAAAGGTACATTTGGAGAGACCACCTGCCACATAAGCAAACCCATCCTCAAGGGCAACGCTCAGGTGAGGTCACTTTTAAAACTGTCCTGTGCATTTGGCTTTTTTAGCACTTCTCATTTTCTCTGTGTCCACTTCTAGGCTGTGTTTCATATTACATACAGCATCGATAAAGAAAGCACCTTCGATCAACAGGTCAGATTTACTGCTAGAATCAACAGGTATGGCACATTTGATAGATATCACCTTCATCTGCATCGCTCAACTGTGAGCTTTTGAGTAGCTGCTCACATATGAGAAACTGATAACTGGAAATACTACTACTAACCAAAACCCTCCATCATCACTTACAGTGGGAATGACCAACACTCTCAAACCAGTGAATTATTCAGAGAGAAAAGCATTGGTGTCAAATATGCCATCTATATTGCCTTAATAAGGTTAGTGCTTTGGTTCTCTATAACAGACATTCTCAACTGGATTTGTTTCGGCACCCAGATTTGACAATGGATGTTACGTTTCTGCTTGACATTCAAAGTAAAATCTGGGATTCTAAAGCAAAGCCAATTGAAATTTAATGTTTGATTTAGACAGGGTTCTGTGATCTTTATAATATGTTTTATAGTATTACTATTTTACTGCACGCTTTACCGAATAAATTAAGCCTTGAGTAAAGCATTTTCAAAAACATAAAAAAAAAATCTTAAGGATTCCAAACTTTTGACCAGTAGTGTGTGTGTGTGTGTGTGTGTGTGTGTGTGTGTGTGTATAAACACACAAAATATTAAATAACTGTTTGACACATTTTTCCTTTTATTTTGAATAAGACATGAAGATTCAACCCTCCACATTAATTTTACTGCACAGAAAAATGATACTGATAAACCAGTCAAACAGATACTAAAGGTACTGTAATGAAATTCACACACTTCCATGAACACAAAACTGAATTAGATAAAGATTGTCTGATCCAAAACTAGAGTTCGATGTCTCTTTTTCTTTATCAATGTCTTTTCAAAAATGGTCTCTTTCAGGTTGAAAATGACTTTAGAGAACTAAGTTTCAAAGTTTTCATCAGAGTACCAGTGATGTTGGGAGATAAATCTATCTGGACTAATAAAAACATACAGGTAAGCATGAATGTGTTAGAAAAAGCCCATATTGATTCACATTCATCAAAATAAAAACAACCAAACACTAGAGTATGTGCTTTTAGATTCCAGGCTGTGTGAAACAGAGGGATGAGCGACCTGTCGTAACTGATTTTGTCGAAGTAATTAAAAAGGATCGTGTGGTGGTGAGCGATTTAGTTTCATTCCCTGATCTAACATAAACAAGTCCGTAAAAGTAAGATTTTATCTTCTCTGCACATTGACCTCATTACTCCATCTCTCCTGATGTGTTTGTGTCAGAACTGCTCTGTGGCGGTGTGTGCCGATTTCAGCTGTGACGTCACTCTCATAAAGAATGAAAGGATGCTCTATAATATAACTGGCAATGTGAGCTCTGAATGGATTGAGCAGGTCTACGACTTTTAAAGCAAATTCATATCACAAAATAAACCATATATTCATATTTTTGTGTCATCATTTTTTTTTATGTCACGATCTGTTTCTCTTAGACTGGACTCGGAGCAGCTGTTTTTCATCTGGTCAGTTCAGCATCTCTGGATTATGACCAGAGCAAATATGTTTTCTTTTCCTCTGATTCTCAACAAACTGTACCATCTGTTCAGGTAATGCATTTTCTTTACAGATTATCCAGAAATGTTAGAAAATGTAAATGAAATTTGAAAAAGAATAACATTTAAACCTAAAAATGAACATTTAACGTAATGAAAGTACGGTTATAATGTGCAATGTAAATATAATTAGATTAGATTTTCCAATCCATGTATACCTACAACCACAATGATATTATATTGGTAAATCTTCTAATATTTTCATTTACATGTAGTCATTTAGCAGACGTTTTTATCCAAAGCAACTTAGAAATGAGGATATTATAGATATATAGAGGATATATATATAGGTATATAGAGGAAATATTGTACGATGTATTTGTGTATGTAGATTAATACTCAAGTGGAGGTGTATGAGGAGGTGAATCTGACTAAAGAGATCTCTGGGGGTGTAATAGGAGGACTGCTGCTACTGGCTCTCATCACAGCGGCCCTCTATAAGGTGTGTATACTGGATGTTTAGTTTCAAACCTTTCATTTTCAGCAGTCTACATACCTTGGGTTTCATTTTTCAATGTTGTAATGCATATGCTTTATTTCCTTTCAGGCTGGTTTTTTCAAAAACCAGTACAAGCAGCTGCTAGAGGACGCAGAGGAAAGCCCTGAAGAGGGGCCAACCACAAAATAACACAAAATATAAAATAAACAAAAATAACTTTAGATCAACCACAATAGTGATGTATTTCAGATTCAAATGTGGCTTACATGCAAGTGAAATTATTTTCCAGGACCAATTTATTAATGAGGCTTATTATATGCATATGCTTGCAAATATTATTGATATACTGCTTGTACAATAATCATAAGTTTTCCGTTAACAACCTCTGTAATGTCCTTATTAAATAAAAGGGCCTGCTGTACCTGATGCTTTAAATGGAGGAGAAACAGCTACTAACACCTCAAATACTGTTATGACTACATCAGGGAGGTTTAAATCTGTAGTGTGTGATTTCAGTGCACTTAACAAATTAGCAAAAATAATGACTGCTTTCAAACATGTTTCCTAAACACACATTACATTTCATTAGAGGTAGGGCTAAGGTAGAGTTAGTAATTTATGACCAATGAAAACTTTAGAATCGGCTACAGGTCAGCTTTGTGCTTGACTGGTTTGGGTGGGAAATTTTTTTTATTAAGGCTCCATTTTCAGACTTTTAACAACTGAAACATCTAATTCTGCAAACACCAGGAAATGTGAGCGGAACTATTTGAAATGAGAAGTGAAAGCAGTGCAAGTCAGCGAATTCACTCAAAACACAGACAACATGCAATTGTGTTGATGAGGAAACCGACATGTTCAAACAGATAAACCTCATTAGACCGCTTGTGGAATTAATATGAACCACAGAAAAAATAAAATAAAATAAAATAACCTCTTATCTCACAATATAACCCATGTGAAAAAGAAGTGTGCTTAATTGTATTAAAAGTGTGTTTTTTGTGTACTTCAAATCTTAAAAGTATACTTTTTAAAAAGTGCACTTGCAGATAATATAATATAATTTAAATGAAAGGCAACTTAAGTGTACTTAATGACAATATTTCTTAACATACTTGTGCACTTTTTAAAAATGCACTGTATAATAATGTCTAGTTAAGTATTACTTAAACATACATTTTACATTGTTATGATTTTATAGTGTTTAAAATAAGTACACTTTTTTTGATATATTTAACAATATACTAAAGCACATGCAAAATAATTTATTTTAATTTCAACTTAAGTGTGTTGTCCAAAATTACATTTGTTAATGTATTTTAAATGTATTTAGTCTATAATACATACTGTGTGCATTAATGCCTTTAAAATGTATTTTTCTTCTAAACTTCAATACACTTATTATACATGATACTTCAATACAATTTTCATCACCCATCACCAGCTCCTGCTCTATGAACTCTATGAAGTTTAATTTTCTACATAATATTTAACATACAGTGTCATTTACGAGAGTACTGTATTTGTACAGTATGTAGGCTAATAGTAATATACTGTACTTTACATCTGTGTACAGAATACTTTCAATGTCATTATGTTGTTCTAAGTCGCTTAAACACATTTAATTGCATTAATTGCAAACAAAAGTTTAACAAATGTAAACAAAATTCATTTGGATTCAAATACATTTTATTTTAATTATACTAAGCTACACTACACTGTAAAAAAATGATTGACTTTTAGTTAGGTGAATGAGTCATGAATGCGTCTAACCATAGTCTTTGGTCTAACTACACAATGAGTTAGAACAACTTGAACAGAATTGGAAAACTTGAAATAATAACATTTAACCATGCCTTAAGTATCTCTTTTGTTTAATGAGTATGCGCCAAAAATATTACGTCATGACGGCGCACTACTTCACCAGAGTTTGAAAAATGCGCTGTCTGCCATGTTTCTGTAATCGCGATGCGTGAGGGAACTTTGCTGATCAAACAAGAGGAGAACAAAGGAGCGCCACGTTTAGATGATTACAGATGAGAGTTTATGTACTGCAAATAATGAGTCAAGTAAGTATATCTTGGTATAAGCTGTCTTTATTGTTAATTTTTGCCATTTGTTCTCACAATATGGACTCTAAATGTTAATTAATCGTGTCCTATAATCTATGACTAATGTGACCAGATTTCTGAAATGAAAACTGGGGACATTTCCCAGTTCAGTGATCAAAATTTCACTGAAATCTCTCGTGCTTATCTACAAAATTAAAAAATGGGGACAATATATTTGTGTATGTTTTTTAATTGTTTTGGTTTCTATATATTAATATCATAATTAGTAATTACAATGATGTTTAAGGCTCAAACTTGTTGAACTTGTACAACAAACTTGTTGTACTTGTTGTACCTGCACTCACTTACATCACTAACACATCCCTTCACACTGGTGTTTTCCCCTCAGCATTTAGACAGGCTCGTATAACCCCTCTACTTAAGAAACCCACCCTTAACCTATATCTTTTAGAGAACTACAGACCAGTTTCCATTCTTCCTTTCTTTGCAAAAACACTTGAACGAGCTGTGTTCAACCAAGTCTCTGCCTTTCTCACACAGAACAACCTCCTCGACAGCAAACAGTCTGGTTTCATAAGTAGACATTTAACCGAGTTAAAACACAGAACAACCTCCTCGACAGCAAACAGTCTGGTTTCAGAAGTAGACATTTAACCGAGTTAAATGCCTTGATCTCAGTTGTTGAAGCCCTAAGACTGGCAAGAGCGAATTCCAAATCTTCAATACTTATCTTGCTGGATCTGTCTGCTGCTTTTGACATGGTTAACCACTAGATCCTCCTGTCAACCCTACTGGCAAAG